CCCCAAAACCCCAAAACCCCAAAACCCCAAAACCCCAAAACCCCACAATTGCCAAATATTTTTGAATATTTAAATTTTAAGAAAATGAGCTCCTATTATAGTGCCATGTCTGATGTCGATCGGTACTCTTACGCAGAGAACAGCCAGAGAAAACCCAAGAAGTTGAAAAAGAAGAAAAATAAGCAATTTACAGGTAAGGATGAGGGTTTATAAAGGTATAGTCACCAATTATGTCAGAACAACACCACTTGATATGGTCTGTAGAGACCCAGATAGAGACTTAATGTATCAAAAATAATGAGTTTGGGCTAGTCCTGCCTGAGGATCAAGTCCGACTTCAGATGAATGAGCCAGAGAATAATGAAAATATTTCAAGTCTTCAAAGATCTGAGCATTTTCATGAGCCAGAAAATTATCAGCCAAACATTAGCTCGAACATTCTGCAGGAGTCTACTAATGATAACATTATTCGCACAGATAATGGTATTGGTTTTGCTTAATTTTAGACCCATTAACTGACGATGAGCAAGTTGAAATGATCCAGAAATAAGATCAAGACTATTTTCACATTTTACTCCTCATACGGAGATAGGCTCAACATTAGCAATTTGAAATCCTCCAAATTTAAGCGCATGATGATCGATTGAGGGATCGCTGATATTATACCCAAAAAGAAAATTGATTTAATCTTCTACTCGCAGAGTAAAAGTAGGGCGGCCATGAGTTTTGAGAGCTTTCTTAATGCACTAACAAAGATCTCCCAAACCTTATCATTCTCAAAGAAAGGGCCAGTTGAGGGATTTCATACTCTGATTAACAAGCATATGCTCCCTCTCTATGATGAGATTCTGAAGTCTCCTAACTATCTGACTGTGAGCATCCTTGAAAACGATTTAAAATTTGATGAAATTTGAAATTATGTCATCAAAAGTGTGGGAACTGTCTTGTACGAGGTTTACTCAGCCTATTTTCCTTGGGAAATTGCAAATTCTACAATTTACACTAAACTTGATAAGAAATCAGAGAAAGCATATAAACAATTCATTAATGACTTTGATATTTGTCCGTCGATTCTTACTAAAACAATGAGTTTCCAGATTTGGAACTCGGTGATCAACCTTGAAAATGAAACTTATAGAGAAATGAGTGAGTCTATCTGCGGGACTAAAGCCTTTGGAAAATGCCTGTCATTTTCAAAATTCGTGGATTTATTGGTGAAAATCTCATACCTCTTCGCTAGAGACTCTCAAGACATCCCAAGTGAGACAGATTTGCCTAGCGAAATCTTTATAATGCTACTTGAGAAGTTAGAACTTTCTAATGGATTTTTAAATCTTGAAAAAAAAACAAATAAGCCACATACCTCAAGAACCTCTTTATTACCTCCCAAAGATGTAATGATGCTCATCCAAAGTGCCAAGCAAGGTGACTCTGAAGAGGTCATCTCCTATATTAGGCAAAAGAATCACAAAATGATTAAAAAGGCAGAGAAAATGAGATTCATTCAGGACGGTAGAATCATTCAGCACAATGTACCCCAAGTCATGCCTACTCATTCTATGGATAAGCATTCTGAATATTTTGAGAGAGAAAACCAACCACTGTACGAGGTTAATCAACTCGAAGAGCCTCAGATAGAGCATGTTCCTTCAGAGCCAACACAGGAAGGTAAGTTCTGTATTAATTTCTACCACTGCTAGAGTCCTCTTTAAGTGATCTTTTTCTCAAAGAGTCTAACAAGTTAGGAAATCCAATACTAATAGGCTTATATTGCTTTATTTATAAATCCTCTGGGTTTAGTCAATAAATATAATAATTTGGATTCGGCTTCATTCAGTTATGATAGGGCTATTGTGGACTTAGGAGAGCTGGCCAAGCAAATATAGTGCTAATAATTTTCTGGGTTAATGCTTCTTGATTGATAGATTAGGAATTGATATCAGCATAATTCATGTACTTACAAGAAGTTAGTATCTGGGATTAAATAACCAGAATGGTAAAAACAGCAGTGAATTCACAGCTCTCCTGTTTTTATGAACTAGATTTACCTATAAGCTAATTCTTTATGTAGATGATACAGAACAGGACCTGTATGAAGTATTTGAAATGCATTGTGGCCTTGGGTACCAAACTCAAGGGATAGATTTCTACCCAGCTCAGAATGGCTATGAAGAAGAGAAGCTTCTTTCATCGACAAATTTCATAAAAATGATGAATTCCCTCAATTCACAGGATAGCTCTCCTTTGGTTCAGGATGAAGATATTGACGTAATTTTTGAGAAGGCAAGATTTTTCAAATCTCAAAATGGGAATGAGTCACTAACATTTGATCAATTCAAGTTCTCACTGAATCTAATCGCTATGAAAGTGTTCGGATATAGCCCAGATGGGTTACAGATGCTGACTCAGGATTATATTATCCCACTCAAGGATATTGTTGCAGATCAAGTCACTGCGAACACTGAGCATATCCTCCAACTGATGGAGATCCTAAAAGATGATGAAATGATTCAACTACTCGAGCTGGTCTACCAGACAGTGTATCCATACTTTGAGCATTACTCTGAGAACCAAGAGTTAATGTCCCTTTCAAGGTTTTCTCAGTTGTGTAGAGACTTCAATATTTTCCCTGATATCCTCCCTGAAGAAGTAGTGATGGACTTCTTTAAGACACTTAGTAATTTCTACTGATCTTCTTCTGGTGAGGACTCACAACATCAGAATTTGGAGCCTGATATGATAGATGAGAACTTATTTGTAGAGGTGCTAGCATTAAGTGCACTTGAAATGAAATTTCAGGATCCCCAACCCAGTCAGATTGAGAAGGTCATTGTTCTGCTGGATTGAATGAATAATACTGAGATTGCCATTCAGATATACTCTTCCACAGGTGAAGATCCAAATGATAAAATAAAATCAGCCTATCCTCATCTTTTCCAAGAAAATTAGATGAAAGTAAAATTTTATTGAAAGTTTCATTAAAACACCAAAGAAAGGGGTTTTGGGGTTTTGGGGTTTTGGGGTTTTGGGGTTTTGGGGTTTTGGGG